CCCCCCCCCCCCCCCCCCCCCCCCCCCCCCGGGAACTGCGAGCTCGCCCTGGGAGCCTTGTCCGCTTCACTTCCGGCTTGGCGGAGTGCAGGAGGTCGGCGGGGCCGGGACGATCCTCGCAGAACAGCCCTTCGCTCGGGATGGCATTTTTCCGCCTGGCATTTCTTCGCTCCTGTTCGGTCCGGCCAACAACACTGCGGTCAGGGCAGGTTGTGTGATGGCCAAGACGCATCCCAGGTCATCGAAAGCGTAATAGGTTTCACAAATAAATCCTTATTTTATTATACACTATATTGCCCAAAGTATTCGCTCTCAACTGCTTCTGATTATGTGGATGGGTGAGCGAATACTTTTGGAAATATAGTGTACATGCATTTATTTCTTACAGTTTTATTGCGCCCCTGCTGGAGCCATATCTGGCAGCGACCTCCCAACCCAGTTGCTTGCCGTCCCCTTCAGTTCCTTCTCGGGCACATCCGCTCCTCGCAGATTTCCAGACTTCGGCCTTTGTCTCCCCTTCCTCCCCCGCCCCCATATTAAATAACCAGTTCAGGCTCCCCAGCAAGGAAAAGGGGAGCTCCGCTCAGTTCCTCATACTGAGCCTGTTGGAAAAGATTTTCTCTTGAAAATTCAAATAAATTGAATTTAGAGAAATTTCAGAAATATGGAACTTTAGTAAGATAATTCTTCCTCGGAAGAATAGGAACCACTCAGCGGTGCTGCCCTGCAGTGATTATCTACTGACAATAACAGTGTAAATAAATCACAGACATGAACATACACCCTGGAAATGAAGGCCAGGAAATTGCCTAGAGACAGACAGAGAGCTATGCAGAAGTATAATTCCCCTCCCTGCAAAGCATTCTATTTATGCAATTTACGTAGCTTACATTTTGCTCAATGTTATGCAAATGGCATTCCTGTTCCAGGAGTGACTGAGCCCGAGCTCCTCCATTAACTTCTCAAACTCTGGGAACATGAGGATCAGGACCAGCCCAAAGCATTTGGCAACCTGAGGCCAAGCTTAAGTTAAACCTTCCCCACCGTCTCTTCTAAGCCACAATCATGTCCCTGTTCTCAGCTTCCCACATCCAGTCACTCAAGTCTTCAGTAGCTTACATGAATTCACTGTTGGAACAATTTACTTTGCAGAGGTTTCTTGGTTTGGTTGCATTTCATGAGTTCTAATGACAGCCTGAAAAATGAGAGTTACAGAGTTACAGAGTGTTTAGTGACTTGAAATTCAATGAAAGCAATGCCAAGTATCAGATGGCCATTGGTTGCCAATCATGCTCAACAAGACTGAGAAGTAATCATTTTAAAAAGGAGCAAAAAGGGCCATGAATCTATCACTTGTCTGCAGTTGTATGTGATAAGATATGGGGATGTTTTTATCACTGGACAGAAAATATATATAGACAAAAAGAAACAGAAAATTGAATAATTTGAAAAAGAACGCAGAATTATAGGGGAGGAGTCGAATTAAAAGGCAACTGAAATGTAAATCTAAAGGTAAATGGAAGATAAAAATAGATTTAAAATGATGTAACTGTTAACCCATATGACACGCTGTAAGATTACTGATGTAAGAGTAAGAATTTTTTTAAAAAACTTTAAAAAAAAAAAACCACAACCTTGACTATGTATCTGAATGGTCAAATAACTGGCAACTCCAAATCTCAACCAACAGATGCTCTGTCTTACACATTGGGGGGAAAAATCAGAATACCAAATACAAGTTAGGTGGATACGACCTCATAGATGACCCCCACTCAGTCAAGGACCTTGGAGTATTCATATCAAATGAACGAAGTGCCAGAGCTCCCTGTAACAGCATTGCCAAAAAGGCATTAGGAATTGTTAAAATAATATTGCGAAGCTTCTCCTCCAGTAATATTGTACTGCAAACTAGGGTGTACAAAATATTTGCTAGACCAATTCTCAAATACAGCTCTTCTGTCTGGAATCTGCACTATACACGGGACATTAACACAATTGAGTGAGTCCAGAAGTATTTCATGATGAATATGGAGATGGATATCCAGGAAAGGAAACACTGGGAAAGGTCATCTGTTGGTATGGACCAAGTTCTCATAAACATGCTGATGTCAATGTCATCTAGTTGAACATCTTCACCCCAGGCTAAAGAGGTATGTTGGAAGTTCTGATCCAGTGCTTGGAACTTAACAAGAACCAGATTCAGCCCAAGCAAGGTGTTGGCTTAAAAGCCAATTGACTCTGGGGTGGCATCAACTTTGGCTTTTGATGGGGTTGTGTTTCTCCATAAAAGAGTAACCTCAAATTTGGAATCCTCTTAGTCTCACAGCTCTTGCTGGAAGACATGATGAAGGCTGTGGTACCAGCTTCACCTGGTATTTCAGTGTGGCCTAGAGCAGGACATGGTGAAAATAGTCTCTCACTGTTTCCACCTCAGGATTCAGTTACAGCAACATGGTCTACCTGGGAATGGGAGTTTGAAGGACAGTGTTCTGTCCAATAATTATGTTGCTACAAGAGCTGCACTGACTACCAGTTGGCTTCTGAATACAATTCAAGATACTGGATATTACCTATATGGATCAGGACCTGGGTACCTTAGAGACCACCTGTGCCAAATAAATTATGTCAACTGACCAGGTAAATGGAAGCATATGCTGAAGGACCACTCCTTTGGGGAAGGAAGACGGGAGGAGGCATGGAAGTCCTTAATGGCTGCTCCCCTCCTATGGAACAGCCTGCCAAAGGGCTCTCAACGGCCTTCCAGAGAATTGACTTCTGGCTTTTCCAGAAGGCCTTTGAAGAAAAATCCACGCCAAATATGGAGATATTATTGTTACTGTTTTATGATTTTAAATGCATCTTACATTATTCTATATTGTACGGTGGCTTTAATTTATACATCTGCTAGTGCTTTAGAGTAAATGGTCTATAGTTTTTAGTGAATAAATGATAATGCTTATTAAAAACAATGTGAAATTAGTATAGCATACCACTCAAGAAATGACAGGCAAAATGTAGACCCCTTATCTCAAAAAAAGAACAATTTCAGCCAACGAGAAATATATTAAAAGTATAATCCCTACCCACACCCAATCAATTACAACTCTGGGTAACTGAGTAGCTATTGCTGCACAAAATGCAGCAATAAAATATTATAAAATAAGCCATCAGATCTCTGAGGGGGGGGGGAGCAATCAGAACATCAGAAAGAGATCACCACCTGCACTAAGCCAAGGTCTAGAGATTAGGGAATTTTTTTTAAGGATAGGACTGGAAGGGGGTATGAATTTTTGTATCCTGTACTTTAGAAGGAAAGTTTTCCTGTGATGGGTGACAGAGAAGAACTTGGGTTGTCAAAACAGAATATTTAACCATTAATCGGTGAGAAGAAATGCCAGTGACTCTAGTGCCAATGCCACAGTATGGTAATAGAACAGAGTCTTGTAGATATAGAGACGACATAGTTCCTACAGATGGATGTGGGATGAATGAGGCAACAGCATTCTGATGGCAAGAACTGGGAGAAGAGAGACA